TATAATAGCAATAAATATTCGAAAGTGCCTCTTTTCTCAAACTTTTGCCAACATTGCATAAAGACAAATAAAAGATGTTCACTGTTCATATACATTTCTGTGCCTACTAGTGGGAAAATTATAAATTTCCCTACAATGGCTTTCCTTTTGTTTTTAAAATTTCTGGGACTTTAATAATCATAACAAATAATTATAAATGATTGATATAATTAAATATTATATAACATTCACTGTGTTAAACACTATTTATCTTAATATACCACAGTAAAATTGGTGGCAGTAGTAACTGTACAACAATACCTGCTACTAATAATAGAATAAGAGTAACTGCTGCTAGCCGGATGCAGTGACTCATGCCTGTAATCCCAGCACTTTGAGAGGCCGAGGCGGATGGATCACAAGGTCAGGAGTTCAAGACCAGCTTGGCCAAGATGGTGAAACACTGTTTCTACTAAAAATAAAAAATTGGCTAGGTGTGGTGCTGTGTGCCTGTAATCCCAGCTACTCAGGAGGCTGAGGCAGGAGAATCACCTGAACCCTGGAAGTGGAGATTGCAGTGAGCCAAGATTGCGCCATTGCACTTCAGTCTGGCAACAGAGCAAGACTCCGTCTCAAAAAAAGAAAAAGAATCAGAGTAACTGCTGCTGCTTTTATGTGGGATTTTGTAGAAGCTTCTACCAGAAGCCAGAAACTAGACCCTTACCTCATAATTTACTCAGAAATTTATTTCAAATCGATTGTAGGTTAAAATGTAAAAGGTAAAACCATGAAGTGTCTAGAAGATAGAATAAGAGAATATCTTCAAGACCTCAGGGTAGGGAAAAGCTTCTTAATAGTGTATTAAGAATACTAATGACAAAGGAAAAGCTTGATCATCAAAAGACACTTAAGACAATAAGGCAGACGACATGGTTAGGGGAGTCCTTTCTATCATGTAACAGACAGGAGATTTATATCCCAATTTAGAAGGAATTCATACAAATAAATGAGAAGAGCAGCAATCCAACAGAAAAATTGTACAAATACTTGATAGAGGTACTTCATAACAGAGGCTTTCCAAGGCCAATAAACATGAAAAACTATTCAACTTATTACTAACTGATGGAATGCAAATTAAAATCAAAGTGAGATACTTCTGCATACCCACTGGAGTGGTTAAACATTTTTTAAGTGATATTATCAAGTGGTGGCAAAGACGTTGAGCAGCAAGAATTTACCTGTGCAACTAGTGGGGATATCAATTGATACAGCCATTTTGGCATACGATTTGGTATGATCTGCTCAGATGGGAGATAGGCACTTCCTGTGGCTTGGCAAATCTCCCATTTGTACTCTGTGCAGCCAACACACAGCTAGGCAAATATGTATCAAGAATACTCATAGCAACCAATTTTTTTTCTTTTTGAGACGGAGTTTCGCTCTGTCACCTAGGCAGGAGTGCAGTGGTGCATTCTCAGCTTACAACCTCTACTTCCTGGGCTCAAGCAATTCTCCTGCTTCAGCCTCCTGAGTAGGTGGGACTACAGGCATGTGCCACCATGCCCAGCTAATTTTTGTGTTTTGTATTTTTAGTAGAGACAGTGTTTCACCATCGTGGCCAGGCTGGTCTTGAACTCCTGACCTCAAGTGATCTGCTTACCTCAGCCTCCCAGAGTGCTGGGATTATAGGCATGAGCCACTGCACCTTGCCTCATGGTAACAAAATTTTAATAGTCGAAAGTTGGAAACCACTCAAACATTTAAATGGAAATATAAATAAATGATAGTGTATTCATACAATGGAATTCTATAGAATGATCTCAGTGAACAAAACTACCGCTATGTAAAATATGGGTGAATCTCACAATATAATGTTAAGCAAAAGAAGCCATTTGTCCCAAAAAGTGTTTGCTGCATTTATATTAAGTTCAAAACATAATAGTGTACCAGGCTGGGTAACATAGCAAGACCACATCTCTGAAAACAATTAAAATAGATTAGTTGAGCAGGTGGTGCATGCCTGTAATACCAGCTACTCGGGAGGCTGAGGCAAGAGGATTGCTTAAGCACAGGAGTTCGAGGATGCAGTGAACTATAATCACACCATAGTGCTCCAGCCTGGGTGACATACCAAGGCCCTGTTTTTAACAAGAAGAAAAGGAAAAAAGGCATTCCAAACTGAACTGTGGAGTATAGGGGTTACATGTTTAGGTGATTAAGAAAAAAAGGATATTACAATAAAAATCAGGATAGCCCTCTTAGGGCTAGGAGTGTTCTGTTTCTTGAGTATACCATGTAGTTTACATGGGTATTCACTTTGAGGTAAGCGATCATAGTTGAGTAGATTTTTGTTTTGTGCACTGTTCTGTTTGATCATTACATTTCACAGTTATACTTTTTTTTTCATTTCACTATTTTCTTTATTTTTTCCCATTAAAAAGAAAAATTTTAAGTGCTTAAAGGAAAGATCCAAAGTTGGCAAAGTCTTCACAGTTATACTTACATTAAGAATGTATATAATGTTACAGGTTTGTTTTTTTTTAGTGCAGAGCCTTCCTTTTAGTAGTATATAATCTTTTTCAACTTTCGTGCACATTTTCAGGAATGGATTTTGTCCAGGAATGGGAGACAAGGAGACTTTCTGTTGTTGTCCCCAGGCCAGAGAAACTGTCAGAATTCTTAGCATCTAGATCTCAAGGTAGTAACAATCAGAGCAGGAAGCCACAGGAAATTGCCGTGATGTAGCCTGAGCCTACTGCACTTTTGTAAAGTAATCACAGGCTCTGCATTGCCAGGACTTAGAGAACCTTTTGTCCTGAGGTGCTTTGTAAGTGTAGCAGCCATCACACACTACCTTCCACAGCTTGGAGTGGTTTTAATTAATCATATAAATGATTACTACAGGAGAATCCTTGGGAGCCTCAAGAATTAAGAGGACTAAAGTGGCTCTATAGCTCTTTTGACTTTATGTTTTAGGAATAAGAACGTAGATGTGTTCTCTCTCATAGTTTCAGTAGCTTTGCAGTTGATTTTCTTGAGTGTTCTAAGTATGTGAGCTTATTTTTCTCTATGCAATGATAATTTTACAGATATTTTCCTATTCCTAAGATTTCTCAGTGTCTTTTTTCTTAAAATCAAGTATAGATGTTGAATCTTATTGATTGGCAATTTAGCATAATTAAAGGTGGCTACATAGATTATTTGACCTTTTATTAATGTGGTATTATTTTAGCAATTCCCCTAATTCAAATTAATTTTTATATAACCTATGATAAAAACTTCCTAGTTTTATGGTAGACTATTCCTTTAATTTATGTACTATTTAACTCTATTTTTCAGTATGCATAATGACTGAGAGTGTGGATTCTGGTCAGACCTAAATCTGAATCCTAGCTTCACCACTTACAGGCTATTTGGAGAAGTTACTTAATCTTTCTTATCTGGTTTTCTCTATAAAATTATGGTAGTACTAGTGCCTGCTAAAGAAATACTACATGTAAAACACTTAACACAGTGCCTCATACATGATGTTTTCTTTTTTTAATGGACAAACAATGCATATCCATAGTTTTTGTTATTTTAGATTTTATATCTGAATTCTTAGGTAAGATTGAACTACAGTTGTGTGTATGGATACTGTCTTTCTCAGGTTTGAATATGAAAGTAGTTTTAAAAACGTACAATGTCAGGTTCATCTTTGTTGTGTATCCTGTGAATATACAAGATTGTGAATATGCAGTATACAACAATATCAGACTTGATATTGTGTGGGAAAAGAGGCTTTCTGAACTTGGTACCAGACTGGGGCTCAAGACCTATGGTGTCCAGAAGAGTAGCTGCTACCCACAGCAGAGGTATATTCCCACTAGAAGTAGTCTTTTCAGTCAGAAAGAAAGCAGTTTTTGAATTGTGATACAATGTAAATTGCAGTTCTTTTATAGTAAGATAATTTTTATGTTCCTGTGTTTTTGCAGAATCTTCACTGTGTGATATTTCTACATGGGAGCTTTGATGCTATTTGGATTTTAACCTGTTATTTATCTTGAATTTGTCTGTAGGTTTGCCAAGATTTATATCAGTGTATCTGAACCCATTATTCCATTCAGAGAAACAATTACAAAACCCCCAAAGGTTGACATGGTCAATGAAGAAATAGGCAAACAGCAAAAAGTTGCAGTCATACACCAAACAAAAGAAGATCAAAGTAAAATCCCTGAGGGAATCCAAGTTGACTCTGATGAGCTGATTACTATAACAACTCCCAGCAAACTTGCCATGCTCAGTGTTCGAGCCATGCCCCTTCCAGAAGAAGTCACTCAGATTCTGGAAGAAAATAGTGATTTGATTCGTTCTATGGAGCAGTTGACATCCTCTTTGAATGAGGGCGAAAATACTCAGATGATTCATCGAAAGACCCAATAGAAAATTTTGGAATTCATAGGAAAACTGGAGCAACACCTGACAGGGAAAAGATGGAGGAATATTGTTGACCAAGTCTGGTCATTCAGCCCAAGAAAATGTGGGCCCAACATACTAGTCAATAAAAGTGAAGATTTTGAGAACTCAGTATGGACAGGTCCAGCTGACAAAGCTTCAAAAGAAGCCAGTAGATACCGAGATTTGGGAAATAGCATTGTGAGTGGCTTCCAACTAGCAACCCTTTCTGGCCCCATGTGTGAGGACCCTCTCATGGGTGTCTGTTTTGTTCTGGAAAAATGGGACCTAAGTAAATTTGAGGAACAAGGAGCAAGTGATCTGGCCAAAGAGACAGGAGGAAAATGGAACCTGTTTTGGTGGAAATGAAAACCAAGAGCTACAAGATGGCTGCTCTGAGGCCTTGGAGAAGAGGACATCCCAGAAAGACTCTGCACTCACTGACTGCTATGGACCTTTCTCAGGACAGCTTATTGCCACCATGAAAGAAGCACGTCACTATGCACTGCAAGTGAAACCTCAGCGCCTGATCACAGCTATGTACACATGTGAGATCATGGCCACCAGTGATGTTCTTGGTAAGGAAGAAAAGGTAAAGATAGTGAGACATGCCCTGAATAATAGTGAAGTCTCCTAGACCCCAAACCTTTGTTTTGGAGACAGGTCTCATTCTGTCACCCCAGCTGGAGTGCAGTGGTTCAGTCTCAGCTCACTGCAACCTCCGTCTACCAGGCTCATGTGATCCTCTCACCTCAGCCTCTCAAGTAGTTGTTGACTGCAGGCACATGCCACCATATGCAGCTAAATTTTTCTGTATTTTTTGTAGAGATGGATGTTGTTTTCACCACGTAAAACAACATGTTTTCACCATGTTGCCCAGGCTGGTCTCGAACTCCTGAGTTCAAGCGATCCACCCACTTGGCCTCCCAAACTGCTCGAATTACAGGCATCAGCCACCACACCCGGCAAACCCCAAATCTTAAACTTTTTTGGTATGTTTTGCAGAAGCTATACCATCTTCAGATTTACTAAGAGAAACTAAGGTCTTTGAAAGCCAGATATCTTAAATATTAAAATCTTGAGAGGGAAAAAACATGACTACTAAAGATTTTTTTTTGCAAGTAACAGAATCCTTTCTGTGATGAAATGTCTGCTAACTGAAGCTTAAACTGTTTATATGTGTTACCGTCCAAATCTTTGCAGTATTGTTTATCAAGCAAATAAGCGTATCAGTCTGCGTAACCAAAGTTGTTCTGAAAATGATCAAAGAATAAGGCAGCATTCTTATAACACAAAAGGGCTTTGGTGAATTCTGGGTTCTAAGAAAGAAAATTATTTGGGGCTTTATTCACTGCTAATCATTCTATCAAATCCTATTTCTGATTTTTCTTATTTGGGAGAAGCAGACTTTAAGATCTCAGGAGACATGAAGCACTGGCACTTAGTACCTCTTTGGACTTTTGGCTAATATTAGTTCATTAAGACTTACTTTCTCTACTTACAATAAAGAGGATAATAATTCATACAGATTGTGAAGATTAGGATAACACAATTTGTTAAATACAATGCCTAGAACAGCACCTGGCACACAGTAGTTGTCTTATTCTCTCGAGATCAAGGAACTGTTTCAGTAGTGAAGAGAATATAAAGGAGGATTGAGCCCTGGATGAGAGAGTCAGCCAAATTATTAAGTTTCCTCTAACCCTGAGGCCCTTTGAGTCAATATGTGGTTAATTACATCCTTTTAAGGAAGGTTCTTTTGCTAATCAATTCCTGAAAGAAATCTAAGCATTTTTTTTCCAGAAGAAATTTAGTCTTGCATCACATTAAGGTTTCTGTGAGACTGAGCATCAGTAGCAGCATTTGAAAAATAGCTGGATTAAGGCCAGTGTGCACTGCGAATAAAATCTCCAAATACGGCATGTCATATACAGTGCTTCTCAACCTTATTTGAATACAGCATACCTATTAACAGCCATGGAATTTGTAGATTCGTTTGGGAAACACCAATCACTATTCTCAGATGGTATATTTCATTTTCATTGAGAACTTTCTTAATTTAAGGAGGTGGAAATAAGAGTTAAAATCAAGAAATCGTAATCCCTTAAATCCTTGAAGAAGACCTAAGAGCTTTTCTCCAGCCTCTCCTACCCCAAGAGATGCTTATACCACCTCTGTTTGAATGTTTCTGTTATGGGCAGCTCACAGCCAGCTTTGTGAGTTGATGTTTTTTTCTATACTGAGCAAAATATCTGTCACCTGCTAGTTTCCAGTTATCTGTACCACCATTCATCTCTCTTCCATGCAATAACACTTTTATGTATTTGAAGGAAATCATTAGTTTTCTAGTTTTATATCCAAGAGAAAAACCCTCCAAATCCTTCACCTGTTTCTCTATTATGATTTCTGTATCCTTTCACCATTCCAGTTGCTGTCTTTTGGACATCCTTTATTTGGTCAGCATCCCTCTTGAAACAACCGATATTAGAACATAGCACCTCACATACCCCCCAGCCAGTAGAGAACGTCTATGTTTACACTATTACCTTTTTCCTGAAATACGCATCCTTCTTTTAATGCAGTTTAGCAATTACATCTTCTCATTAATTCATATGAGAAGTCAAGATCAATCTCATTTCTTAAAAAAAAAAAAAAAAAAAAGTTGTTTTCCCACTCTGTTCCCCAAAAAGCAGAATCCACATTTTTGGTAATTGACTAGACTGTAGAAATTTTGTAGTTACATGAACTCCTGTATTTATACATGAGTACTGAATCTATACACCTAATTTTTTTCTTAAGTTATATAACACAATTAGTATTACAACAGTAAATAGGAGAAAAATGTTAATGGCAAGAACAGTCACACCACCACCATCTTAACACATTTATTTCTTACTTATTTTTTTCATTGTCCTTTTCTTATCTGATGAGAAATAAAACTCAACAGGTAGAAAATCAAACGTTCTGATGAAGTTAAAGTCCTTTACGTCTATAGCAGTTCCCCGGTTTTCAATCATGTTAGAAAAAAAAGCTTACCAATCATGTTAGAAAAAAAAAAGCTTAAGTTGATATAATTTTGTGTTAGAAGGTCCATGTTGTCTTTAGCTTACCAGTCATGTTAGGAAAAAAAAAAAAGCTTAGGTTAATATAATTTTGTGTTAGAAAGTCGATGTTGTCTCCAGAGATTTACTTCATGCTTGTATAAACATGTACAAATGTCTAATGTTTCTTTAAAATTCTATACAAAATTAACATACTGCTTTCTAGTCTGCAATTTACAAATCCCAGTTTATCTCCTGAAAAAGTTTACTCATTATTTACCTTTTCTGACCGTTTATGCTTAAACAGTCTGGTTTCTACCTTACTATTCATAATTTCTCAAAAGGGCAGATTCACGTAACATGGTGAGTCATAATTCTGGTCCTGGAGACTCAATCCAGGACCATTTAAGAAGGCCAACCACTTAGTCATCACATCAACTTCTGAGCTATCCTGAACCTCAGTGTTCTCTTCACCTTGTTCCACTTGCTATAGTTTGTTCACTATTCTCTTTACTGAAGAGAGTGATAGATAACATAGGTATTGTGAACCCCTATTTTCTTGCTATCCACTATAACATGAAATTAGTTTCTGTAAGTTGTAGACATGTCTCCATATTTTGAAAGTATAGGTTGAATATCCCAAATCTGAAAATCCAAGATCCCAAGTGATCTACTAAAATTTGAAACTTTTTGATCATTAAATGTTGCTCAAAAGAAATGCCATTGGATGGCTGGGTGTGATAACTCACACTTGTAATCCCAGCACTTTGGGAGGCTGAGGTGAATGGATCACTTGAGGCCAGGAGTTCAAGACCAGCCTTGCCAACATGGTGAAACCCATCTCTACTAAAAATACAAAGCATTATCTGGGCATGGCGGTGGATGCCTGTAATCTCAGCTACTCAGGAGGCTGAGGCAGGAAAATTTTCTGAACCTGGGAGGCAGAGATTGCAGTGAGCTCAGATTGCCACTGCACTTCAGCCTGGGCAACAAATAAAACTCTGTCTCAAGCTTCTTCTCCAATAAAACACCAAATGGCGGATGACGCCGCTGCAGCCGGGGTGCCCAGAGGCCCCGGGGGACCCCGGGATGGGGAACCGCAGAGGTTTCAGCAGTGGCATCCGGGGCTGGGGTCGTGGTCATGGACGGAGCTGGGGCTGAGGCCGCGGAGCTCGCAGAGGCAAAGCCAAGGATAAGGAATGGATGCCTGTCACTAAGTTGGGCCGCCTGGTCAAAGACATGAAGATTAAATCTCTGGAGGAGATCTATCTCTTCTCTCTGCCCATCAAGGAATCTGAGATCATTGACTTTTTCCTGGGGGCCTCTCTCAAGGATGAGGTTTTGAAGATTATGCCGGTGCAGAAGCAGACCCGTGCTGGCCAGCACACTAGGTTCAAGGCATTTGTTGCTATTGGGGACCACAATGGTCACGTCGGTCTGGGTGTTAAGTGTTCCAAGGAGGTGGCCACCGCTATCCATGGGGCCATGATCCTGGCCAAGCTCTCCATTGTCCCCATGCGCAGAGGCTACTGGGGGAACAAGATTGGCAAGCCCCACACTGTCCCTTGCAAGGTGAAAGGCCGCTGTGGTTCTGTGCTGGTGTATCTCATCCCCATGCCCAGGGGTACTGGCATCGTCTCAGCACCTGTGCCCAAGAAGCTGCTTATGATGGTTGGTGTTGATGACTGCTACACCTCAGCTAGGGGCTGCACTGCCACCTTGGGCAACTTTGCCAAGGCCACCTTTGATGCCATCTCTAAGACTTACAGCTACCTGACCCCTGATCTCTGGAAGGAGACTGTGTTCACCAAGTCTCCCTATCAGGAATTCACTGACCACCTTGTAAAGACCCACACCAGAGTCTCCATGCAGAGGACCCAAGCTCCAGCTGTGGCTACAACATAGGGTTTTTATACAAGAAAAATAAAGTGAATTAACATTGAAGGAGAGGAACTCAAGATGGCGCTGTAAGAACAACCCAGGATTGATGCTCTCAATTAATCCGCGGAGAGGTGAATCGGAGCTGCATTTTCAGACTGATCTTTGTTGCCCACATAACGGGGAAATTCCCAAGTATAAAGGAGATGCGGGACACCAGGCAGAGGCTCTGCCTGGAGAAGCTGGCAGCCGGGGTGGCGGCGGCCAGCCCTACCCAGCGATCCCCACAGGGCGCGCTTGTCCAGGTGCCCTGTTGAAACGGCAAACTGAGACTTGAGAGGGCTGAACTTGAGACTGAAAGGGACTTGGGCAGTGGGCCAGCCCAGGGGATTGCAGGGACACAGTGTTAGGGATAGCACAGTGGGACAGACAAAACGGCAATCCCAAACACTTGCCGTGGAGACAGTTTCTGAGATGCTCCATGGGGGAGGGGCGTCCACCATTACCGAGGCAACCCGCCCCGACTGAGACACACGCCCAGTGCTGACGCAGCTGGGAGTTGCCGAGGCAACCCGCTACAACAGAGAGACTCCGCTGCAGGGCGTAGCCCATGGCGGAGACCCCAGCAGAACAGCAAGAGCCTGCAGCAATAGGGCGAAGCTCACAATAGCAGGGCAGAGCCTCGGCAGTCAAATAGTGATTAGACTGCCTCCTAGCTGGGCAGGACACCTCAACAGACATCCAAAAACAAAGCCCCAACCCCCCAAGACAGCATTTGAGAAAAAAAGGGGTTTTTTAATGAGCTCTGTTGTAGCAGAATCAAACATAGCAGCCTAACAGCCCTGAATGAACAACAGAGCTCACAGCTCAGCACTTGAGCTCCTATAAAGTACAGACTGTCTTCTCAAGCAGCTCCCTGACCCCTCTATATCCAAAAGACTGACATTTGGCAGGCATCATCCTGGGACAAAGATAGCAGTAAAAGAAACTGGTAGCATCCCTCACTGTTCCGCAGCTGCTATAGGTGCACCCCAGACAAGCAGGGCCTGGAGTGGACCTCAGCAGTCGTACAGCGAAGAAGCCAGACTGGTAGAAGGAAAACCAAGTAACAGAAATACTTCATCACCAACAATCTGGGTGTCCACTAAGAGACCCAATCAAAAAGTCAGCAACTATGCAGATGACAAGCGGATAAATCCACAAAGATGGGAAGAAACCAGCACAAAAAGGAGGAAAACACCCGAAACCAGAACACCTCGCCTCCTAGAAAGGACCAAAACTCCTCACCATCAAGGTAACAAAGCTGGACGGAGAATGACTGTGATGAAATGATGCAATTAGACTTCAGAAGGTGGATAATGAGAAACTTTTGTGAGCTAAAAGAACATGTATTAAATCAATGCAAAGAAACTAAGAACCTTGGAAAAAGATATGAAAAAAGATTTGAGGAAATGATGACAAGAATGGATAACTTAGGAATATGAATGAATTAAAGGAGCTGAAAAACACAATACGAGAACTTCGCGAAGCAAACACAAGTTTCAATAGCCGAATGGACCAAGCAGAAGAAAGAATATCTGAAGTTGAAGATCAACTCAATGAAATAAAACGAGAAACCAAGATCAGAGAAAAAAGCACAAAAAGAAATGAACAAAGTCTCCAAGAAATGTGGGACTATGTGAAAAGACCTAACCTACGTTTGATAGGTGTACCAGAAGGGGACGAAGAGAATGAATCCAAGCTGGAAAATACTCTTCAGGACATCATCCAGGAAAACTTCCCCCACCTAGCAAGACAGGTCAACACTCAAATGCAGGAAATACAGAGAACACCACAAAGATATTCCACAAGAAGAGCAACCCCAAGGCACATAATCGTCAGATTCAACAAGGTTGAAATGAAGGAGAAAATACTAAGGGCAGCCAGAGAGAAAGGTCGGGTCACCCACAAAGGGAAGCCCATCAGACTCACAACAGATCTCTCGGCAGAAACACTACAAGCCAGAAGAGAGTGGGGGCCAATATTCAACATTCTTAAAGAAAAGAACTTTAAACCCAGAATTTCATATCCAGCCAAACTGAGCTTCAGAAGTGAAGGAAAAATAAAATCCTTTGCAAACAAGCAAGTACTCAGAGATTTTGTCACCACCAGGCCTGCTTTACAAGAGCTCCTAAAAGAGGCACTACACATAGAAAGGAACAACCAGTACCAGCCATTCCAAAATCACACTAAATGCTAAAGAGCATCATCATAATGAAGAATCTACAACAACTAACGGGCAAAACGGCCACTTAGCATCAAAATGGCAGTATCAAATTCACACATAACAATATTAACCCTAAATGTAAATGGACTAAATGCACCAATCAAAAGACACAGACTGGCAAATTGGATAAAAATCCAAAACCCATCAGTGTGCTGTATTCAGGAAACCCATCTCACATGCAAGGATACACAAAGACTCAAAATAAAGGGATGGAGGAAGATTTGCCAAGCAAATGGAGAGCAAAAGAAAGCAGGAGTTGCAATTCTCATCTCTGATAAAATAGACTTTAAAGCAACAAAGATCAAGAGGCAAAGAAGGCCATTACATAATGGTAAAAGGATCAATACAACAAGAAGAGCTAACGATCCTAAACATATACGGAGCCAATACAGGAGCACCCAGATACATAAGGCAAGTTCTTAATGACTTACAAAGAGACTTAGACTCCCACACAATAATAGTGGGAGACTTTAACACTCCACTGTCAATATTAGATCAACCAGACAGAAAATCAACAAGGATATCCAGGGCTTGAACTCAGACCTGGAACAAGCAAACCTGATAGACATTTACAGAACTCTCCACCACAAATCCACAGAATATACATTCTTCTCAGCACCACATCACACATACTCAAAAATTGACCACATAATTGGAAGTAAAGCACTGCTCAGCAAATGCAAAACAACTGAAATTATAACAAACAGCCTCTCAGACCATAGTGCAATCAAGTTAGAAATCAGAATTCAGAAACCAACCCAGAACCGCACAGCTTCATGGAAATTGACAAAATTCAACAACCCTTTATGCTAAAAACCCTCAATAAACTCGGTATCGATGGAATGTATCTCAAAGTAATCAAAGCTATTAATGACAAACCAACAGCCAATATCATACTGAATGGGCAAAAACGAAGCATTCCCTTTGAAATCCGGCACTAGACAAGGATGCCCTCTCTCACCACTCCTATTCAATATAGTACTGGAAGTTCTAGCCAGAGCAATCAGGCAAGAACAAGAAATAAAGGGTATTTAAATAGGAAAGGTGGAAGCCAAATTGTCTCTATTTGCAGACGACATGATAGTATACCTAGAAGACCCCATCGCCTCTGCCCAAAAACTCCTGAAACTGATAAGCAACTTCAGCAAAGTCTCAGGATATAAAATCAATATGCAAAAATCACAAGCATTCGTCAACACCAATAACAGACTTAAAGAAAGCCAAATCAAGAACGAACTGCCATTCACAATTGCTACAAAAAGAATAAAATACCTTGGAATACAACTCACAAGGAACGTAAGAGACCTCTTCAAGGAGAACTACAAACCACTGCTCAACGAAATCAGAGAGGACACAAACAGATGGAGAAACATTCCATGTTCATGGTTAGGAAGAATTAATATCGTGAAAATGGCTATACTGCCCAAAGTAATTTACAGAATCAACACTATCTCCATCAAGCTACCATTGACTTTCTTCACAGAACTGGAAAAAACCACCATGAACTTCATATGGAACCAAAAAAGAGCCCGCATAGCCAGATCAATTCTAAGCAAAAAGAACACAGCGGGGGGCATCACACTACCGGATTTCAAACTATACTACAAGGCTACAGTAATCAAAACAGCATGGTACTGGTACCAAAACAGAGATATAGACCAATGGAACAAAACAGAGGCACCGGAGGCAACACAACATATCTACAACTATACAATCTGATAAACCTGACAAAAACAAGCAATGGGGAAAGGATTCTTTATTTAGCAAATGGTGTTGTGAAAACTGGCTAGCCATGTGCAGAAAGCAGAAACTGGACCCCTTCCTGACACCTTACACTAAAATTAACTCCAGATGGATTAAAGACTTAAATGTAAGACCTGGCAAGATAAAAACCCTAGAAGGAAATCTAGGCAAAACTATCCAGGACATAGGAGTAGGCAAGGACTTTATGAACAAAACACCAAAAGCATTGGCAACAAAAGCCAAAATAGACAAATGGGACCTAATCAAACTCCACAGCTTCTGCACGGCAAAAGAAACAGTCACTAGAGTGAATCGGCAACCAACAGAATGGGAAAAATTTTTTGCAGTTTACCCATCTGACAAAGGGCTGATATCCAGAATTTACAAAGAACTCAAACAGATTTACAGGAAAAAAACAAGCCCATTCAAAAGTGGGCAAAGGATATGAACAGACACTTTACGAAAGAAGACATATATGAGGGCAACAATCATATGAAAAAATGCTCATCGTCACTGGTCATCAGAGAGATGCAAATCAAAACCACATTGAGATACCATCTCACGCCAGTTAGAATGGCGATCATTAAAAAATCTGGAGACAACAGATGCTGGAGAGGCTGTGGAGAAAAAGGAACACTTTTACACTGTTGGTGGGAGTGTAAATTAGTCCAACCATTGTGGAAGACGGTGTGGCGATTCCTCAAGGCCTTAGAAATAGAAATTCCATTTGACCCAGCAATCCCATTACTGGGTATATATCCAAAGGACTATAAATCGTTCTACTATAAGGACACATGGACACGAATGTTTATTGCAGCACTGTTTACAATAGCAAAGACCTGGAATCAACCCAAATGCCCATTGAGGATAGACTGGATTGGGAAAATGTGGCACATATACACCATGGAATATTATGCAGCAATCAGAAATGATGAGTTTGTGTAATTGTAGGGACATGGATGAATCTGGAGAACATTATTCTCAGCAAACTGACACAAGAACAGAAAATGAAACACCGCA